CGCTCCTGCTTCCAGGCTTGACTTAGTCGGGAAGCTCCAGCCAACACTGTCCACCATGGGTGCCCATTACCACGATTGGCACATCACTGTCGCAGTCTTTGTTTTGTAAGCTAAGCATTTCCCCTTCTTTCTTTCTATTCCAAAATTATTTGTTTCTACCCCAAGAACTGCTCACCTTGTTCATGTGGGGTAAGATATCCCACAGTGGTAAATAGTGTGATGGCTTCACTGACCTATATGCTGCCTTATGTTCAATTTCTGGTTGTAGATCTCGAGGAACCACTGGAATGAAAAACAAGTAGTTCAGTCTTTTTAGGTGCCCTTGTCCCACTCCAATCAAGAGCACAACGAACTCTGCTGCCCCAAAGCCGCCAAGAATGAAGGTCTTAGTAACAGAGATGCAGGAGGAGTCATGGGGCAGGTAATGAGTGCATGGGGTCCCTCTCATATCAACATGACTGGCAGAGAGCCCTGCTATCTTGGAAGAGGAGTTAGCACATTAATTCATCCTCTGAGCCAGTAGATCTCAAGCCTGCTGTTCATCAGAATCTCTTAAAGACCAATGAGAAAAAACTCAGATTCTGTGCCTTCTCTCCCAACCCAACCAAAATAGACTTCTCTAACCACTCTGGGCACAGTCTGGGCACCTCTAGGCATTAGACGTTCCACAGAGGATTCTGATGCACTGCTTCTAGTATCAGTTTGGCCCTATACTTTGAGTGCCTGGAAGCAGGCATGCATATTTGAATCCTGATGCTGAGCAATACAATGAATTGGAGAAAATTCGATATCTCCCTAAAAGGACTCTCCCTATCTCCTCCATCACTACTTCACAGGATAGAACATGTTTAAAAGGCTGGGTTTTGTTCAGACTGAGATTGGCATTTGTTACCTAGAACAGAGCTAAAATACTCTTGAAATGCGAAGTACTCAGGTGTGTAGTCTCCATCCTCTGTGAGCAGTGCCCCATAGTCTGAAAAATATGAAGAAAAGTGTCAATTCCTCCAGTAAGCCTCACATTAACAAAGAAAGAGATGAGAGTTTAGTACTAAATAAAATTAATACAGCAAGTGTGGGATGAAAAATACTTTTGGCATTATTCCAAATCATCATCTTTCTGAAACCTTTATCTATGTTCCAGTTAGTTCAAGCCAAGAGGTACTTCCACATTTTCTATGGTTTTCAATAGGAAGCAAACAGCAAAGCCTATAGACAGTAAGCATCAGGACAAGAACTTAAAGATACTCTCATCTAATGGTTGCTCCTGCCTGTTTAATTTTCCTTTGAATTACTTTATTATTATTTTACTCTAAGCTTGCTTCTTGTCCTGTTATTAGAGTTATAGATGGAGATAGAATTATTAGTTTATACCCTGGTCTAATACTCATTCTGCTAATGAACCATTAAAAAGAAGAGTGTAATAGATGAACAAGAGTAGGCTACTACTGTCTTCATGACTTGAAAAGTCTCAGAAACTTAGAGGCTACAGATATATAAATTCTAGGACTATCAAGAATAACAAATATAATATCAAATATGTATGTAGTGTTTTGTGGTGTTTTTTTTTAAATGGCACACGTTCCTGAGATTGTTCTCATCCCTCTGCCTCCCCCCAGGAAATCCCAGTCTCAAATAGTAGGATGGAATAGTTTGTAGACAACTTAGGGACAAGTACTTGCCATAGCTGGTGACCATAGGAGTATAGTGTGGTGAATATATAGCTCCTCCAATAAAGTCAAAGTTAGTACCACCATGGAACATATAGAAGTTCAGAGAAAACTGACTATTGACCATTTCATGCACTTCTTTCATAGTCACTGAGGTTACAAAGGAAGAAAAAGAATATAAGAGATGTTAATAGGCCCACTTGCATAGGATGTTCAAATATCTAGACTCAAAATATTCAACATAATTGTTCAGTCCTTTCTTCCAATCTACCAAAATTTCATGCCCAGGAAAATGTGCAGGTTTAGCTAGAATTCCCTGGGAAGAATTGGTGGATTTATTCCCAGTATAATTTTAATAACACAAATTTTTTTCTTTTCTTCTGAGCTTCACATTTTGGAAAATGTTTTTCTATTAAGTAATTGCATGCATTGAATAGTTATTTAAATATCTTTGTCATAGGGGTATACAAGTCCAGGTAAAGTGTTTGGGAAACCCTTGGTAACTTCTGACAAAGATGGATCTTGTGCACAAGAACAGTTCTTTTCAAACCACATCTTAATGATCATTTTTCTAGAGACGACCTTGTGGATAATCTTAGATCAACTAACTTTTTATCTTCACTCAACATACTTTCACTGGTTGTACTACTAGTTAGAACAATGGAGACTGATAAAATGTCAACTTCCGTTAAAATCACCTCGAAGACGATGATCCTTCACTGTGACTTCATGGCACAAATGCCTGTGAGATTAATGTTTATAAAGCCATAATATGGAAGATCATTGTCTCATAAACCTCAAGTAAGCTAATCATCAGGGGGTGGGAATGAAGCCTATGCTATCTGTATATCGCTATTCTCCTAAACAAGGAATTGAAGAATACTTACTATGCAAATCAAGAGTTTGGCGGACAACACCCCATCTATCAAAAGAGCTTGCTGTATATACTGTCATCATTATAGGACTAAGACCCTGGAGGAAAAGGGATGCCAAAATGTCAATTGAGAAAGTTGTTGTTGCCTTTTGAGCCATCAGATTGATTACTACTCATTGTACCTCTATGAAGAACAACCCTGAACCTTGCCCAATTCTGCCCCATCCTCACAATCTCTGACATGTTCAAATTCATTGTTCCAGTCATTGTACCAATCCAACTTGTTGAGAGTCTTCTTTCTCTCTCACTAACCATCTTTCTCAGCGTGTCTATTTCCAAGGACTGTCCCCTCTTGAAAAGATGCCCAAAGTATTTGAGATGAAGTTCCACCATCCTTGCCGCTAAGGAGCACTCTGATTGCACGTCCTAAAAGACAGACTTGTTTATTCTTTTGGTTATTCAGTACTTTTTTTCCACACAACTCAAAGACATAAATTTTATTTTGGTTTTCTTTATTCATTGCCCAACTTTCATACACATAGTAAGTTAATGAAAAAGACCAAGGTTTGGAAGAGGCACTTTTTAGACTCAGTTTAAAGTCTAAACATTGTTTCTTTAGTACTATGGAGAGGTCCCTAAAAGTAGTTCATGACTGATGTTATTATGAGTGTTGATCGTGGGTCAAATGAAATTGAGACTTCAATCTTTTCTCCATCTGTCATGATATTGTGTACAGGTCCAGTAGTCAAGACTTTTGTTTTCCTGATGTTGAGATGTAACCAGATTTAAAGTCTGCAGACTTTGGTCTTCTGCAATGAGAGCTTCAAGCCTTCTTCACTTTCTGCTAGCAAGGGTCTGTCATTTGCATAATACAGGTTGTTGATGAGTTGTCCTCCAATCCTGATGTCACATTCTTCATACAGTTCAACTTCTTGAACAATTTTCTTGGCAAACAGATTAAGTAGGTAAGGAGAATAGATACAACTTTGATGGACACCTTTCTTGATATTAACTCATGCACTGTTCCAATGTTCTGTTCAAACAACTGCTTCTTGATTTATGTATAGGTTTCACAATAGCACAATTCTGGGATCCCCATCTTTTTCAATATTTACCATTATTTGTTATGATACACATAGTCAAATGTCTTTGCACTATCAATGAAAAAGTAAACATGTTTCTGATATTCTCTACTTTCAGCCAAGATCCATATGACGTCTGCAGTGATAGTCTTTGTGCCATGGCCTCTTCTGAATCTAGCTTTAATTTCTGGCAGTTCCCTGTCAATGTGCTGTTTCAGCCATTTTAAGATAATCTTCAACAAGATTATACTTGTGTATTACATTAATGCTATTGTTTAATTTTCACATTCTGTTGAATCACCTTTTTTTTATTGAAACAAGTATGAATCTCTTCCACTTATTTGGCCAGGTAGCTGTCTTTCAATTTTCTTGGCATAGACTAGTGAGCATGTCCAGTTCTATATCTGTTTGCTGACATACTTCAGTTGGTATTCCATCAACTATTTGTCCACTGCTTTCAGTGCATCCTGCACTTCTTCTTTCATTACCACTGATTCTTGTTCATATGATACTTCCTAAAAATGATTCAGTGCTGACTAATTCTTTTCACTACAGTGACTGTGTGTTCCTTCCATTTTCTTTTTATGTCTCTTAAATCATCCAATATTTTGTTCAAAGAATCTTTCAGTTCTGCACCCCAAGGATTGAATTTGTTTTTCAGTTATTTGAGCTTAAGGAACGCCAAGAGCGTTCTTCCCTTGGTTTCCTAACTTCGGCTCTTTGCAAATTTTACTCTATACCTTTGTTCTATTTTCTCGAGCTTCTTCTTGAAGTCTCCTGTTTATCTCCCTTACTTCAGCATTTCTTCCTTTTGTTTTGGTCTCTCTTTGTTATAATTCAAATTTCAAAGTCTCTCCTGACATTCATTTTGGTCCTTTCTTTCTTCCTGTTTTTGTAATGACCTTTTGCTTTATTCAAGGATGATATCCTTGATGTCATCCCACAACTCATCTGGTCTTCAGTCGTTAGTCATAAGTTGTTGTTATGTGCCATCGAGTCATTTGCGACTCATAGCGACCCTATGTATAACAGCCCTAAACCGTGCTCTATCCTGTGCCAATCTCAGTGCCTCTGACAAACCCATCTTGAATACCCCAGTCACTGAATCAATCCACCTCATAGAGGGTCTTCCCCTCCTGCGCTGTCCCTCCACTCTACCCAGCATGATGTCCCTCTCTAAAGACCTGTCTCTCCTTACAACATGTCCAAAGTATGTCAGACGAAGCCCCAGAATCCTTGCCTCCAAGGAGCAGCCTGGTTTAATCCTCTCTACGATGAATCTGTTTGTTTTCTTGGCAGACCATGGTACATTCAATACTCTTCTCCAGCACCACAGCTCAAAAGCATCCACTCTCCTTCTGTCCTCCCTAGTCATTGTCCAACTCTCTGATGCATAACAAGTGATTGCAAAAACCATGGCCTGTATCAGGTGGACCTTAGTCTCCAGAGAGACACTGTTTCCCTTGAGTATTTTGGAGAGGTCCCTAACCGCAGACTTTCCCATCGCAATATGTTTTTTTATTTCCTGGCTACTGGTGCCAAGAGTGTTGACCGTGGAGCCGAGCAAACTGAAGCTGTGTACAATCTCAATCTCTTCACCATCCTACCTGATGCTGCCAATTGGCCCAGTTGTGAGAATCTCTGTCTTCTTGATATTGAGCTTCAGTACATATTGAAGGCTGCAGTCCTTGACACTCTGCAGCAGGCGCTTCAGGTCCTCCTCAGTTTCAGCAAGCAGGGTTGTGTCATCTGCATAATGCAGGTTGTTGATGAGTCTTCCTCCAGTCCTGATGCCACATTCCTCTCCATACAGCTCAGACTCCCAGATCATCTGTTCTGCATATAGATTAAAATGTATGGAGATAGGACACATCCCTGGCATACACCCTTCCCAATTATGAGCCATGCAGTACCTTCTTGCTCTGTTTTGATGACTGCCTCCTGGTCCAAATATAGTTTTGTAAAAGCACAATAAAATGGTCTGAGATTCCTATTCCTCTCTGAGTGAGCCACAGTTTGTTGTGATCCACACAGTCAAACACCTTTGCATAGTCAGTGAAACACGGATAGACATTCCTCTGGTACTCTCTGCTTTCAGCCAAGATCCATCTAACGTTAGCTATAATATCCCTAGTACCAAAGCCTCTTCTAAACTGAACCTGGACATCTGGCAGTTCTATGTTGACAGGTCGCTTCATTTTTTATAATTTCCAGCAGCATCTTGCTTGCATGTAGTAGTAATGATTCTTGTTGTTGTTATGTGCTGTAGAGTCGATATTGTTCGATAATTTCTACACTCTGTTGGGTTATCTTTCTTTGGAATGGCAACAAATAAGCCCTTTCAATTTGAGTTTAAATTACAATATCCAGCGCTAATGCCCTTCCAATCATCCCTTGCAATATTTGTGTTGTTGCCTAAACTGCCAAATGCTTCCAAGAAAATTGTGGAATTCTCCAATTTTATCTCTCATAAAGCTTATTATTTGGTATAATCTTTATCTATAATTATACCTGGACAATGCTTATTCAATATTTCAAAAAAATAATTTCAGTTCCAGAAATAATATCGTTAGCAATTAGCAAATGTTGGCAAGATTGTGGAGAAATTGGGACTCTTCTTCACTGCTGGTGGGAGTAATATTTATTCTCCACTTGCACCGCAGTAACAGGGCCTCCCAAAAGATACTAAGACACAAGCAGATGAGGGTTTAAGAGTGAGGCTACCTTTATTCACTGCTGATGGGAACATAAAATGGTGCAACCACTGTGGAAGGCAGTATGATGCTTTCTCAAAAAGTTGGAAATACAAATATCATTTGACCCAGCAATTCCACTACTGGGAATTTACCCTAAAGAAACCAGAGCTGCCACCCAAACAGATACAAAACCACCTATGTGTATTGCTGTATTATTCACAACAGCAAGGAGATGGAAGCAACCCAAGTGCCCATCAACAAATGAATGGATGGGAAAACTATGGCATACTCTCACAAAGGACTTCTATGGAGCACTGAAAACCAAGGAACTCATAAAATATTATAGAACATGGGTGACCCTGGAGGACATTATGCTGAGTTAAATATCTCAGTCACAAAAGGACAAATATTGTGTCATGCCCCTGTTATAAAACAGGACTGACATGGAGGTTGGGAGAAAACTAAGAGGAGATAGATAATGAACACTGCATTGGAACAGATGAAATTTAAAAGGAATATTTAATTAGGAATTTTTTTTTGTATGACAAGTGTCCAGAATAAGAAATGCAAAGCAAAATGGACTGGGGGAGTGGTCTGGGGAGGGAGAAAATTATACAGCAATGACTTAAAAAGTTTTAAGTGAACTAGGGGAGGATAGGGAGCAAAATGTGCCACAGTGAATGAATGAAAATACAACTTTTCTGTAAATGTCTGTTAAAACGTCTTTTTTTAAAAAAACCAAACAAACAAAAGATAATATTATTAATTTTTAAGGGTAATTGAATTGAGGTTATTTAAGTTCTTTCTCAATAGCATCAACCATTGAAATTAAGATACTTATATTAGAAATTATTTTTCATTTTATAAATTTTCATTTGCCACTCCTAATGATATAACTACTGATGTCAGATGGATCTTGGCTAAAAGCAGAGTTAGCAGAAGGGTGTCTATTTGTGTTTCTTTGTCTATGCAGAAGCATTTGACTCTATTGTTCACAATACATTATGGTAAATATTGAGAAACACTACATAATTTAAAATCTAGAAAAGTGTGCATCAAGGCTGTATCGTTGCTCAATTAATTACTCAATCTGTGTACTGAACAAATCATTCAGAAGGTGGACGTTGTTAAGAAGAATGTAGAACAGCCTGCATTATGCAGATGGTACAACCTTGTTCACTGAAAGTGAAGAATACCTGAAGCACTAGCTACAGAAGTTCAAAGAAAACCTTCAATATATATTGTTGTTGTGTACCATAGAGTCGGAACTGACCCATATCTGACCTTCTAGGGGGATTTCAGAGGCAGTTAATCACATGGGAGGAGATTGTCCATCCTTCTGCCGTGGAACAGCCGGTGACCTCTAACCACATGCTTTTGGGATTCCAGTGCAGCTTCTTGCCACTAGGCGACCCAGAGCCCCTCAGTATAGATTACATCTCAGAATAATAAAACAAAAATCCTTGCCTCTAGGCCAATAAGTGATATCTTGATAATGGATAAAGGACTGAAATTGTCAGTGATTTCATTTTATTTGGATCTGCAATAAATGTCCTTGGTACAAACAGTTAAGAAATCAAAAGATGTGTTGTATTGGGGTAATCTGCTTCCCAGTACCTCTCCAAATTCTAAGGAGCAACAACATCAGTTTAAAGATGAAGGTACCCCTGATTCAATGCATAATCTTTTCATTATTTGTTATGGAACTGAAAGTTAGACAAGAATAAGGATGTTAGAAGAATCAATACCATTGAGTTGTGGTGTTGGATAAAAATACTAAACAATCCATAGACTGTCAAAAGAACAAATATGTCTTGCAAAAAAGTGCAACCAAGGTGCTCTTTAGAGGCAAGGATGGTGAAAATTTTTCTCACTTTAGACGTGTTGTTCAGCAGGGCTAGTGTCTTTGGAAAAAGACATTATGCTTAATAAAGTGGAGGGTCAGTGAAATAGAGGAAGACTCTCAACTAGATGGATTGAGACAGTGACTATAAGAAGAGGTCCAAGTGTTACCATAATTAATATTATAGATTATGTGCTCACGTCAGCAGCACATATAATATAGTTGGAATGATACATAGAAGATTAGCATGACCCTGCACAAGGATGACACACAAATTCATGAATCATTCCATATTTTTTAGATGGATAGATTCAGTGACTAGGGTAATGAGGGTAGGTGTGTCAGAGACAATAAGGTCACAAGATAGCACAGGGCTCAGGACTGTTGTCCATAGATTCATTATGAGTCATAAGTGACTCGATGGCACATAACAAATACATTCATAGATTATAATGATGGCACAGAATAGGGTAAAGTTCAGATTTGTTGTTCATAGGGCACCTACCAACATCTTACATGTGTATCACAGTCTCTAAACATTATATTAGTAATAGTTACTGGACAATCACTATTCAGTTGTATTTTGTGTTAGAAATTATAATCCTTTTGTTTAGCCAATTTAGATTTCTCAACAACTCTGTTCTCTGGTACTAGAAAGAATTTATCTTTCATATTTTGAAGATGCCACCAATTGAGAGTTATCTTCAATGTGAGATTTCCTTCCCAGTTCCCTGAATTCAGCCTTACATAATCCCTAAACTATATTTGCTAGGTAAAATCCACATTAGCCACCTTCTATGCTGATCATTTAAATACCTGGTAGAATATGATATCGTTTGTTTCTAGGAAAAAGCATACTTTTAATTAGTAAATTGCATCTGGACTTAAGGACTATGAAAAGCCATAGCTTTTCTCTGAAAAGCCATAGCTTGGGTATCCCTGAGCACAACATATCTGGAGGCCAAGAGTTCCCTTGAACACACCAGTAAGCTGTGTCTATAAAGCTACTGTGTTGGATAGTGGCTCCTACATTGAGCTCAAGTCGTATGACAAGTTAGTTCTCATTCATTCATGCATTCCCATTCCCCTGGCACTTCCGTGGTAACTTAGGGAGAAAAATCTCTGGGCTTCTAAAGGAAACCTCAGGGAAGAAACTTAATGGGTCCTGCCTACCTACTGTGCTATGCTTGGTAGTCTGTTTTTTGGTTGGTTGGTTGGTTGGTTGGTTGGTTGGTTGGGTTTTTTAAAGCTGAAGGTCCAGAAAGTAAGCATATAAATATAATCTAGTTGAAACTGAAATGATTTCAAATTGACAGCTCAAAGGCACATGAATTCATCTGTAACTAAAACAATCACTGTTAATAAATATCCCTGTAAATAAGCAAGGATTCCTCACACAAACAAGAATGAAAAACATCACCATCTCTGAAAGGTTCTCACCTGAAACTTAAATAGATTTTCATAAGTTTCTTTGCTGATATGCTTCATATGGAGAGTGGCAAGCACTGCAGAGTAAAAGAAAATGTTTTGAAGAGGTCCTGCCACAACCACTGCAAGGTAGTTGTATGACCAGGACACGAGGTGAACTCCAGCACCCAGACACATACTCTTCACAGGCGTCTTAGAGTTGATACGATTTATGATTATGGTTAATGATAAATACATGATCTGCCTTTGTATCTAACCATGCCGTTTTCAAAATTCTTTCCTTAGCATTTACAGTGAAAAGCATTTACAGAGATGTGTGAAGGGCCATTAAAATACACCACCATATACTGATTAATTCATTGAAGGCCAGAACAGGCAACAGTCTAAAGACCTAAAACTTGACTTCTAATTCAAAATTTTTTTCTGCCTGTCCCATTATAAAATGGAATGCAGAGAACCAAAGGTTCTGGGTGAACCTGTGAGTTGGGAAGTCTGGAGTAAGTTTTATGCATAGTTAGTGATGGGGGAGGGGAGGGGGGAGGAATAGCAGAGGTTAAGGAGTTGGCTCTTTAATCCTGAGCATTGACCCGGAGTCATCATGACTGTACTAAAAAATTATAGAATGTAGTTCAACAAGAAATGAAAAAAAAAGATTCCTGATTCTTTTTCAGGATAAATAGGGCAAAATCAAACATGTACCATTTTTTAAGTGGCCTTTTATCACATTTTGTCCTTCATCAGCAGTCAGGAACAGCACCTGGATCTTTCTTTTCACCAAGGCCTGCAAAGAAACTAAAAAATATTAAATGACTTGTTTCCAACCCAATAGGACTGCTTCTTTGTGGAAGACATTATATTAGGATAAAAATACTAAAATTAGACTGAGGAATAGAGAGGAAGATCTAATTCCCCATCTGACTACTTATAATTTTTAGATTTGTATAAAAGACAGCATTCCAGGGGAATCTTACCTCTGCAGGGCCAGCCCACACAGACCCAAGAGGACAATAGAATGTAATAGAGACCACCTCAATCAGGCAAGAGTCTCACTCCCAGAGCCAGTGCAATGAAGTGCTAGATCAGGAGTTGGCTGCTACCACCACCAACTCATCCCATTCCTAACAGAAACTTCTGCAGTTTAAGAACATGGCCTGACCTGGCCTTGCCACTCTGCAGACCAAACAGGGAAACAGATTTTAGGAGAGGGGCTGCAATAAGGCAAGATACCTGCAGGGCTGCACTGTAGACCAGAAGGATCTGAAGGACTTTGTTGTTGTTGTTGTTGTTCTGTGCCATCGAGTCACTTGCGACTTATAGAGACCCTATGTACAACAGCCCTAAACTCTGCTCTGTCCTGTGCCAATCTCACTGTCTCTGATAAACCCATCCCGATAATCCAAGTCACTGAATCAATCCACCTCATAAAGGGCCTTCCCCTCCTGTGCCGCCCCTCCACCCTCCCAAGCATGATGTCCCCCTCCTAGGACCGGTCCCTCCTTACAACATGTCCAAAGTTAGTCAGACAAAGCCTCAGGATCCTTGCCTCCAAGGAGCAGCCTGGTTTAACACTCTCAAGGATGAATCTATTTGTTTTCTTAGCAGTCCATGGTACGCTCAATAGTCTTCTCTAGCACCACA